CATATATATATATATATATATATATATATAAAACAATGTTAATACGAATAGTGAGAATAATAGCAACGTAAGAGCTGCTACATTGCAAAGAGCAGCGTTTGAATCTTACCAAGAGAAGTAAAAAGAAAAGAACAAAAGACAGGTGACAGTAAATTCACTGATGGTGCGATTATAGATATAATCACCGTTTACGAACAAATCATTGAAAATTAACCCCTACGCAAACATAAATGTAATTTGTAACTGGAGACTATGAGATCAAGTGTTTGATATATCGATAATCGTGCGGCCAGTCGAGCATGGTTCACTCCGATCTTGCTTGCTCGATACCGATGATGGATCATAACCGCTAGATCTAACGTCGGTGACTGTGCGCACGACCGATCGGAGAAAAACAGCTCGTGCTGTTATCCTCCCGGTGGGACCGTTTCCGTTTTCAATCGAAGCGACATGCCTTGCCTCTATTCGATGATTTTTTTTCCCAAACGTAGCCCCGAAGTACGAATTTCTCTTTTCTATCATTTTTTTTCCTTTCTGGGACATACGTTCGGAGAAAGCAACATCTAATGAAATCTTTAAGGATATCTCGAGGGATATCCGACAACAATTATCTGAGCAAATTCTCTAAAAGTACATCTTGTCATTTTGCGTCACGTCGATCACATTCATTCAACATCAACTCGCCAAACTCGACAAGATTAATCATGTCCGATCGATCATGATTGGGCGTACAATTATCCTTCCGCGTTTTATTTGTCCGGTGACGAGGTTCTTGATTTTGTCGAGGGAATACTTGGTGATCGAATCCTGCCTATCGCTTCGCCATTTCTCGCGGGAGGGCGCAACGACTATCGTCAACGTAACGATGTCTCACACATTATTCACTCTTCAACATTTATATATATATATTTTTATGTATGTATACTATCGTTTATAAGCTCTTAGACCCCTTAAAAATAAAATAAAACATTCTTATACAATTTTTTTTATTTTAGCAACATAAGTTGATCTTTTTAATTATAAAATGACAAAAATATCTCACTATTTGATATGTACCTGAAAAACTTATAATTTTTTTCGAAAAATCTCTCTAAATAACAAATGGATGAGAAAAATGGGATCGTATTATAATTTTGGCAGTAGTTTCTAAAGTATCTGGAGATCAAATACACTTGAAAAATTAATTAACAGAAAGTCCAAAATATAAAGCTGTAATCAAAGCAAAAAAAGGATTTTTTATGAGAAAAAATTGTAAGTTTTCTTATAGATAACTTATCAATCTGTGATAATTAATATTGTTATTGCAGTTGCTATCAAAATAAAAGAAAATTGCACAAGAATGTTTTATTTTTTTTTAAGAATATCCAAAAACTTACATGAACGGTAGTGTATATATTTTCCATGAAGCAATGCACGCACGCACATTATATCAATCGATATTCTTCCTTTATCTGTTTCATATGTTTCTCCTCGAAAGTTTTTAAGATTTTTAAATTTTGTATAACTTGTTTAAAGCAATTAACTAGTAATCGACGTTGCACAAGTTCCTTATTTTTTTTTTTTTTATTAATAGACGAAAACAATTTTGTAATTTTTAATTTTTTTTGAACTAATATAATTTCTTTTTGATCGTTTCCATTTTCTGATTGTGCTTATGTATGTACAAGACAAGTACAAATAAAAAGGTGAAATAAAATCATAACTTTCTTTTCGATTTTGATTTTAATATCGTCTTAATTTAAAAACCCAGAAGAAATTTGCACTGAGCGTAATAATAATAAAAAATAAAAAAGACATAAACAAGCACAAGTCTCCTTTTGCTTTAAATGATGAAAAATAGGACATATCTTGATTAAATTTAATGTAACATTTTAATTTAATTTAAATACATTAATATATTTTTTAATTCAGTTAAATTATATTAAAATTTGTACATTAAATTTAATCAGGATATAATTTCATCGTTTATATTAAAATATGTATATGTACATTAATATACTTTATTTTTATTTAATAAATAATTTTTCATAATTTTTTTACCAAATTAAATAAAAATCTCAATTTTAATTTTAAATCTTTTTAACTAATTTTAACGGAATCGGAAAAAGCACCGATGTCACATAAAATGCGTGCGTCATTCACATCACGAGTGGAGATGGATTTACTTATATTTTTAATATATATTATATTCTACTAAATACAGTTTCGATATATACAACAAAAAACGGGCGGTTGCAACTCGCAGAGACGAAGAATTTTGTATTTTGACAGACGATTTTCATATTTATCAATGAATTATCAGCTGAGAACTTCCAAACCACGCGAATTCAACCGCCCGCTTACGCTTATATCTAACTTCATACAAAAGTATACTACAGTACATATACAAAAAAAGAAAAATTCCGAAACCGTTACGCGTCGTGGCTAACGTTTGTCTTTTTCTTCTCAGTAATCGATGTTAATGCCGCGCACGGATGATTCGTCAGCTATTTGCTGAGCTGACTAATCTTACGCCGTGCTGATATTCGAAATACGAATAAAGAATTCACGAAGACTTGAGCGCTTTAGATCTCGAAAAATTTTGATACATTGGTTCGTACGAAAAATTTAAAAAAGATATTTTCATATGAACCAAAATATCAAAGATGATGTGCGTTGCAACAATCGTCTAATCAAAATCACATCCGCGAATCGGAGTCTATTAATTAATCTATTATTAGGCGCTGACCGTTTCCCGATTTCTACGCAACGAAATATCGAGCAAGAATTCGGGATATTTTTTGCGGATTTTCAGAAAGAAAAGGAAAATAAAAACTGATAAAGGCCACGTAATGCCGTATCTCTTGGATTCATTTTTATTTATGCTAATTGCAGGTTTTTGTTATCCACAAATATACTCGTTATATTAGAAGCTAACTGCAAATCAAACGATAGTACCTTTTTCCTTCGAAAAATCACTTTCTGATCTAACGATTGATCGTGCAAGACTTGAATTGCACGAAGCACAACACGGAAAGCCACGACGCGCGCCGGCCGAAAAAAAACACTCGTATATTCGAAGAGTAGCGTGTCTACTCTAGCGACAAATACAAAAGACGAAGACGCGCGATAGCGAATGATAATTCGTTCAAATGAACTCGAGCGTGCGATCCGAGTGAAAGAAATATTGATAACGATCGCGATAATACGCGTTATCTGCTTCGCGCACCACGTCGATGCGTTCGGTCAAGATCTTTGTCAATCGGTTCATGCGGAACATGGCGAATGAATTCTCTGCTGATGTCCTCGAGCAACGTGGAGGACAATTATTTGTAACGATTATCTGTCCCTATGCGTGAAAACGCTCCATACAAACCAATAATGCGCATTCTGTTTATCTTCCTCTTCCATCTTCGTTTTTTCTCTTGACTTTTCAGTAGGACTCGGCGTTCCATTCGTCAGTATTGAGTATGGACATAATCTCCTCATTACGATTAAACTCTAAATCCGGCAATGTCAAACTATCCATCTCGATGTCGGACGATAACTCGGTTAATGTTTGATCGGAGAGATGTGGAAAGCTGTTAATAAGTTCCTCGAGATTAACCGGATGACGACCGATGTTGCTAATGAGAGTCTCATCCGTGAGAAGACAATCGTCGATGGCACCTCCCGTGATGCCCGTCGTCGGCGTTGCAAGGACGGACGACATAATGGACACTGGCGACTGAAGCATCGTCATCGGAACAACGGCGTTCATCATCGTAGGCTGCGTGGGTTCCCGCTTTACTTGGAAATTCATCTGCCGAACAGCGGAAGTCAAATTCGTGTGACAGTAACCATGATTGTCCGGTCGCATTGTCGACGGCAAATCTACAGACGCCAGAATTATGTCTTTCGAGGCAAAATTCATTTCATCCAATTCCGATTTTGGCTCCACCTTCGGTTCTCTCAGTTCTACTTTTGATTCCTGTTTGATCTTAGGAGCAATATTGCAGATCGCGTTGTTGTTGATAACATTCTCAGAGTTGTAACTCTCCTCGTAGAAGGCGGACTCGGGCGAATCGGGGGTGTCGCAGGTCGGGCTGGTGGGCACCTTGCCGGGAATTGATAACGGTGCCGAGTTGTAATCCACATCAGAGCGTAACATATGATGTGGCGTTTCCAGGGTCTCCAAAGTCAGTTCGACATGTTTCGAGTTCGACCTGGACATCGGTTTAAGACTCGATTGAAGCTTTTTTATCGGTTTCTTCAGCATCTGTTGTCGGGTATTGTTATTATTATCATTTCTGGTCCTGGCAGCGTGACTAGCAGCGGGTGCCGCGGAGACCGGCGACAGCGGTGACAAGGATGAACTGGCGAGCATCGAGGCCGGACTGTTTGATGGCGTCGACAACATCGATGATGACGATGATGGAGAGGGCGGTAGTGACGACAATGATAGAGATACCGATTTTCGCGTTCTTTTCCTCTCTTTTGCCTTCAAAATCTCAGCAGGTTTTGAAGTCTTCTTCCTGGGTCGGTATTTGTAATTTGGATATTCTTTCTGATGCATCTTCCTAAGTCGCTCGGCCTCTTCTCTGTAAGGCTTTTTCTCTGTCTCTGGTAATAACTTCCATTCTTCCCTAGACTTTTACTGATCTCAGCATTATGCATATCTGGTTGTTTCTCGCAAATCTCTCTGCGCCTCATCTGCGACCAGACCATGAAAGCGTTCATGGGTCTCTTAATGCGGTTGGGATTGTTCTTTTTCGTCTGTAACAGAGAAATCAGAAACGGGCATTGATTTAATTAATTTGTTATTTTTATTTAATTAATATTTTTAGGAAATTCTTAAATTTAGGTTTTTCCTACATTCGATAATCAATAATTCCATAAGATAATTTCCTATCGATATTATGACAATATTTGACTCGCCGCGATAAATTCATCGAAGTTTATTAATATTTTAGACCATGTCAGATGTTTTGTAATTGACTTATGACATCTTAAGACTATACTTAAGGCGGCCTAAATATAAGAACCGAGTATAAATACTGACCTAAGAGCTCGTCTGAAAATATTACTACGTCGAAAGAGAATCCCATGAGTCATATATATCGATACCCTTACATTTAACTCGACATCTGACCATGTGTGATTTTCAGCCTATGATACATCGAATTGACCGCAATCTTCGCATTAGACAGACACGACCCGGAATCGAAAGACGACGTTTGATCACGTTGAATGTGGGATGCGACGAATGCGGGTCAACATATCTTTCTTCTTTTTTTTCTCTCTCATTTCCTTGCCATCGATCCAGCATCGGTCAAGAGTGCGGAGAGAACGCTTATGTGTGTGT